TTCTTTTTTACCTAGAAATGCCAATTGCCAAGTCTTAAATTTTTTGAAGAGTTATTATTTCTATATTTACCCATTCATCCCTCCATCCTCCCATAACTCAACAAACATGTATTTCATGCCACCTACTAGGAATCCTACTTAAAAGGCATGATTCCCACACTGGAGAATATGCTGCTCTAACAGTGAAGACAGACATTCGATACCACTCATTAAAGAAGCCCACGAAGTACTCGCTTTGGCAGCACATATATTAAAATTGGAACGATACAGAGGAGATTAGCATGGCCCCTGCGCAAGGATGACACGCAAATTTATGAAGCGTTCCATATTTTTAGAAAAAAAAGAAGCCCACGAACACATACATAATTTAAAAACTATGATAAATGCTATAAAGGACAAGTACAGCTGTTTTAATAGCATATGATTTGGAGATCTGACCTAGGTGAGGGCATGAGCACGTCTAAGAGGGAAATCTTCCCCAGGAGGGAAAACGGAACTGAGAGCTAGTGGATGAGTGGGAGTCACTTGGACTAAGGGGTGGAGCAGGGGCCATCCGGACACAGCAATGGCAACAGCATATTGGATGCTACGTTTGGCCTTCCTTGGAGTGATGTGCAAGAGGGTCTACCAGTTAACTTTTCCAAAACTCTTGGTGGAGAAAAACAACATCATTTTTTCTGTTGAAAAGAAGGAATTCAGAAACATGAAAAGCAAAAATCCTATGTTATATCCCAAAGAAAGTACTTGCCAAATTCAGATTTCACTGTTTTTAATTTTGCCAAGTCTTCTTCCTGAGCAACATCTCCAACTGGCTTTAACTTATACCTTGAGAAAGTCACTTAACTTCCCTGAGTCCTGATTTTCTCATCTATAAAACATGAGGCTTGGGTTATATATATGATTTCCAAGGTCTCTCTCGTTTTCCGCATTTTATGTCTCTAGAAATACTTCTGAGTTAGTGGGGAAGGAGAGGCGGGAACATGAATCCCACAAAGCACACTTGTGGCTATATTTAAAAAACAAATATCAGTGCACATTCATACTACAAGGGAACGTTGTAGGAATTGTAACTCTTGAAATGCAGGTTGGATGGAGCCAAAAATAGCTAACGCATCCACAGTTAATGCAGGGAAACTGCCACGAAGCGTTTCCTTGGTAATTGACTTACTTAAACGTGAAGTAGCTCCATTTGATCAAAGCCTGGTTTCTTAGCTTCTCATTCTTTCTATGATTTCTTTGATTGTAATTCAGTGTATAGGGAAAAAATGACTGACAAAGCCACTCCTCTAAAAAATGAAGGTCATCCAAAACTATTGATAAAACAGCAATCCCGTTGGGTCCAAACAAGCAGGTACTCTCACAGGAGAGGCCTGCTAGGCCCCATGCACCCTTAGCGTGCAGTCGAATCCTAGGATCACTTCCATCCTAAACAAGTTCCTGTGGATCCCTCAAGCTCTGAAATCATTGGCACCAGAATGTCCAGGAGTCTGACATCTGTCAATTTGAATGTAAAGGCTTGGATTTCAAACCAGAGTCAGCTCCTTCTAGAGAAGGGAAAAGGACAATGGCTGCTATTTCTTAGCATGCATAATCAATGCTGCAGGGGTTGCTAAGCAACAGCAGAAAGGCTGTCAAACATCCCTGGGTGCCTGCAGTGGAAGAGGAGTGAACCCGGCAGCCACTCCACAGAGGTGAGAGGCTGTGCCGTCCCTGAAGCTGCCTTCAGTTTGTTTCATTTCTTAAAATATCCCTTTCTTGTGGTCAGGGCTGAACCATAGACATCTTCCTCCCAGGCTCCTTCGGATAACCTTTGAATACATTCTCAATTGGCCCAAAGCCCTGAAAATGAGCAGGTCAAGCTGGCAAGAGGCAGTTCTGTAAAAGGTCCATGGGTTATTCTGATCCAGTTCACCCTCCAGCTTGTGTCCATTATGAGGCTGCAGCCACTGAATCTAAGACAGTTGAAATGAACCTCCTCTAAGAAGCTCAAAATTATCTAGCAACTACAAGCAAAACCTCCAATTTCAACAAAAAATTCACATGCAGAGTCACAGACTGAGCTTTCTCAGGCTAGTGACCATGAAGTTAGAATGAATTTTTAGTCTGCATGTACTCTGTCCACCCTATTGAGATGATAGTTTTGTATGAATTTCAACAAGGAGGGGATTCTAGCAAAGGGAAGTCAGGATTTGACAAAGCATCAAATCCCCCCCACTTTTTTAGCAGTGTTGATTAAAGAACAGACACTCATCAGAGGTCATTAATTTGCAAACATGCAGTTGGCAAAGGCAGGAGTTACGTAAAGCCTAGGTCCTAGGTTGGTTTCAGAGGTGGGAGTAGAGGTGTAATTGAGATTTAAACCAGAGAGTGGCCTCACTGACAGTGGTGATGGGAAATATACCCAAATAGAAGCTCCTGGTGAACAAGAAAGTGGAACGTCATATGGTCTCTTTCAAGGCCAGCCCAGGTACCAGTGCTGAACATTGCTGTCAACAACTAACCCTTCACGGTTAGTAGTCCAAGCCCCGAAGTCTTATTTCAGCATGTGTTTAGAGGAAAATATAACACATAGCTGGATTTAGCTATGCAACACCCTCTCCGAGAAGTACAGAGAAGGAGGTATAGGATAAAGAATGGTACTAAGATGAATGGTTATACCCACTGAGAAATTTTTTATATTTATCTCTTTGTCTGGCTGAGGGTTTTCTGCTTTTCCTATGCTACCATCTAGGATTCCCTATTCTTGCAAGATTTTGTCACATTCATAAATTTCCACTTTGTGACGCTATGAGGGAAAGCCGAAGTCTGAAGGCCTGATTAGCTTCTGGAGTGGCCTCCAAGTAGCAAAATGTGGGTCCAGAATATGAATCCAGGGTCTTCAGTTTCTTTCTCTATAACACAGGGATAGGCTAGGATTAGATGTTCCCTAAGATTTTTCCAGCTGTAACATTTGATAGACTATGAATTTATGAAAATAGAGCTACTTTTTGGTCCAATTTAACCAAAAGGAAAAAAAAAAGGATAGCAAAAGAAGAAAGCAAAAACTGAAGACATAACACTGTTGAGTGTTTTAAACATTTTGTGCTAAAAAAATCACAAAACTTTTTGAATAAATGAAAGAAAAGAAGATGCTAGTTTTGATCCTAGCAATTAAACATCCCCAGAATCACTGCAGGTTCCTTCCTTGGCCACCTTCTACCCCATTCAACCTCATCATCTTTTCCTCACTCCCTGTCTAATCTCCCCTTCCACTTGTCTATCCTGGGAGGTCTGTATTTACTTGATACATTTTACATTTGCCGTCCCTAGGAAGGTCTGTCCTTTATTAACTCCAACACGCAGCTTTTAGGAGGCTACTCTCAGAGTTTAGGAGTATCATGCCTGGTGAGTTTCTTTCAAGGACAAGGAAAACAAATGCATAGTTTTTCCATTTGGATGAAATCTAACAGAAACCATTTAGTCTTTAGGATGGGTAAATCCAAGAATCATTTTATAGCGCTCCTCAATTACTCATTAGGTATACCTGAAACATTTTAATGCTAAGTATAATAGTCACTTGATTTTTAAAAATGAGAAGTTGTCCTAGTTATAACTAGTAAACAAACGCCATTTATTCAAACATCCCCTATTTGGCAGATATAAAAGACAATAAAAACTCAATCATCTTATATTAAACCAAGAAGTTACATTTTGGTACAATGGCCATGCCCATATTCACTTGGCACTCAATTCATTTTCTAAATATATGCTTCCTTTAAGTGTTTTATATATACCACCCAATACTTTGGTGATTTTTTAAAATTTTAACAATGCATATGTAAAATATCTGCCCAAGTTGTTTGTGCTATTTTTGTTAATTCTTATGCTTTAGAGAGCTCAGTGGAAATGTTATCCTTTTCAAAAATAATGTTTATCTTATTGAATACCAGGGTTCCTTTTTGAGTTTATGAGGATATATCTATGATGGACTTTTAGACTTATTTATTTTAGTAGGAGTCCCATGTCTCCTAGGGTGGTAGAATCCACAGGAGTTGCTGTCCAGCCCAGATGGAATCCTGTGTGCGCTATGGGGCCTTGGAAAGGTCTGGGAGGGAAGAGGGAGAGAACTGAGTGGAGCAGAGGCTGCCAGGGTAAGTGAAGTCCGCAGTCCTCCCTCTACACCGTGAATCTGAGAAATGCTTCAGCTGAGCTTGGCACAAATACCAGGCAATCTGAGAAGACAAGCTTGATTCTTCAGGACTGAGCTAGTTGGATCCTGTTTGACCCTGCTGACTCCCATGTGGAATTTAGATAGCATGGACTGGGAAGAATAGCTCAGAGCTATTTGTACCCTGAAGACTGGTCAATTGCCCCCCCTCCCAGAAGAACCTTGTTTTTGTTTGTTTGTTTTGTTTTGTTTTTCTGGCCACGGCTGGGTTTGAACCCGCCACCTCCAGTATATGGGGCCGGCACCCTACTCTTTTGAGCCACAGGCACCACCTCCCAGAAGAACTTTTGACAGCTTAATATGCCCCAAACATCCTGCCCACTGCCCATTTAGTTAAAGGAATTTGTTTTTGTTTGTTTGGTTTTGGTTATTTTTTTAAATAAAGTCCACTCTGTTGCCCAGGCTAGAGTGTGGTAGGGTCAGCCTAGCTCACAGCAACTTCAAACTCCTAGGTTCAAGTGATCCTCCTCTCTCTGCCTCCCCAGTAGCTGGGACTACAGGTGCCTGCCACAATGCCCAGCTAATTTTTTCTATCATGTTTTTAGAAGACGTAGAGTATTGCTTTTGCTCAGGCTGGTCTTGAAATCTAGTTATCCTCCTGCTTTGGCCTCCTAGAGTGCTAGGATTATAGGTATGAGCCACTAGGCCCAGCCTAATTAAAGAAATTTAAATAAATCCACCATAGCAGACACATTTTCTCCTGGATTGGCCACTAAAATATAATAAAATAAAATAAAACTTCCACACATTAGTGTGACCACAGATAATGAGATATTCTGGAATGTTCTCTTACCTTCACTGCCACCAAGATCTTGTCCTGTTCAGGACAGAGGTTATAGCATTCAGCTAGGAAAACTTTTCCAAAGGCTCCTTCGCCTAGCTCCCTTTTCAGAACAATGTTATGTCGCTTGATGTGCTGAACAACTGTAAAACAAAGACAGAATGGAAATTGGAATTGAAGCATGCGGAGGGGAAGGTGGAGGGCAGGAAGGCAATGGCCTACACCTGAGCCTGCAAGCCCAGCATTGTCTCCTCTGCACACAGTGAACCTAAGAAGCTCATTGTCCATCTTCACAGTCCACCCCAAGAGGCTGGAAGGAGGTTTCATCAGCTTGCTCTCCAGAATGCTATGATTGTATTTGACAGGACTACAGTAGGGGCCTAGCTGTTGGCTACAAAGTATCACTGATGAACTTTACAGACTAGGGAAGGGGAGAAATGAGAAAGAAATTAACATTAGTGGCAAGCCTCTTTATAAATCAGAGTCTTCACATGTAATTATTAGTCATGTGTCTGATGGGGCAAGGCAGAGAGAGAGCCACAAATCCCTAATTCTTTGTTAAGCAATCTCAGACTCCTAAGGGAGATAGGCTTAAAGGACACAAAGGGAAAAATGCAAGATCTGGGCAGTGTTAATTAAATCCAGGGGTCCTCAAACTTTTTAAACAGGGGGCCAGTTCACTGTCCCTCAGATCATTGGAGGGCCAGACTGCGGGTCCTCGGACAAGTCGACTGCTAAGCAGGACAGGGAGCGGCGGCAAAAACACCCTGCAGGCCAGATAAACGTCCTAGGCAGGCCGAATGTGGCCTGTGGACACCTGATTAAAGCTTTGACCTCACCCTTTCTGTGAGGTAGTCTAGACCATGGTGGGGCCCCAGTGATTTCTTTTGCTTAGACCAGAAATATCTAGACTGTGCCAGAAGCTTCTTCTTAGCCCCTTTCTTAATTCAGGCCTCAGTCCCAGCTTTCCAAAGATTAATCTGGAGAAGAAAGAAGAACATCTCTCTGTATAGTCTGCAGCAGAACTAGCTCAAGTCACTCATCCTGACACCTTCCAGGGCAGTAAGGCAGTCAAGGGTCCTAAGAAACTCACTGGCTGCAAGGTGGACACCAGAGAGATGATAGACCTAACAGAGGAGGTAACACAAGGAGACTCTGTAGAGGACAAACCTCTAGTGCCAGCCTGTGCATCCAGCACATTAAATGCTACCCCTTAGCACTGGTGTCCCCTGGGTCTTGACCATGTGCTTTTCTGAAGTCCTTGTCCCTGAGTGGCAGTGAATTAAAGAGAGACTGCGGTGCCCTCTAGAGCTTGCAACGCACGGCCACGGATGTTCCCTCATTTCATTCTCACAAGCCTATTTCTTCTTCTCTGCATTTTATAAGCAGAAAAACATCTGTAGGAATGTCAAGGATTCCATCTGGGAGTGTAATTGGGATCTGGACCCAAGTTTGTCTAAATCCAGAATCCAGGCTTTTTCTTCTACTCCACCAAGTCTCTTTTCAATTGTAAATTGCATTAAACAGGAGGGGAGACTTGATTTACATGAGAAACAGAGTAAAAAGTTAAAATGATCCCTGGGCTTCCTCTCTGCTCCAGTCCACCCTTCAAAGTCCAATTCAAATTCTCACTCCCTCAGAGAGCTGTCTAGGACCACTTTGAGCACCAAAGCCCTCTCCTTCTCAACTCACATGCACTCAGATTTATCCTCCAATCTCTTCACATCTGCAAGTGCCCAAGGTTAAGAGGGAGCCCTGTACCTCTCCAGAGGCCCTGGGCAATCCCTCAGGTGCTAAGCATGATTTAGTATCACCAGAGTGCAATCTGACAATTTTTCTTTGAAGCTTTTGTCTTGAATGTGAACTGACTAATAAAAACAAAAGAATATATAAAGCATATCCCTGCAGTATAAATAATAATAATAGTAATAAAATGAATACTTAGGAACTCAATATCTCCTTTAAGAAATAGAATATCACTAGTACAGTAGGAGCATAACCGTATCGTTCTTGATTGTATCCACTTCCCTATCTATCTCCCAGGGATAATCACTACCTTAAATTTTGTGTTAATCATTTCCTTTACAAGTTTGCTGCCAATATTATATCCCCCCTAAGAGACTGCGCGGCTTTGCCTGTTTTCAAGCCTACATAAATGGAATCATACTATACAAATTCTTCCATATCTTGCATATTTCACCCAACAATATCCTTGAGACCGAGTTACATTGTGACATTGTGTGTGTAGCACTAAATCTTTCCCTTTTACAACTTTATAATATTCTGTGCAAGGATGATACCACCATTAATTTACCTGTTCTTCATTGATGTAATACCCTATACAGTTTCTTTCTAGGTACAAATTTGTATAAAATGCGAGTGGTGATTAAGGCTTTGCTTTAATGGGATTTTTTTCCTTCTGATGATTCATATGGTTTGGAGCTGAGAATGGCTCTGTGAGCCTCTGGGAACTCAGGGTGATAAATATCAAAAGGTCTTTTTCTGAGCAACAGGATTAATGAATATAAGAACGTATATTAATTTCTCATGCTCCAGTAGCGACGTCTAAATTTAAGAGGAGAGAAATGTGTTCATTAGGTAGAGTACCCATATGAAGACACAAATGTAATTCTTGCAGAGAATTAGCAGCCCTATTTAAATCTAATATTTAACTCCCTGGTTGTCACATGTTCAGTGGGAATTAAATTGCCACTTGATTTACTTCACACTCAACCAGACCAAGGCAAGTATTTAACATTTTTTGCATTTGATTCATACTTTTTTTTTTCCATATACCATGCAAGGGGAAAAGTTGGCACAAAGTAAGTTTTAAAGCTACCATTTCATCATTTTCAAAACTAAATTGATTAACCCCAGTTTGGGCATTGAAAGCAGTAAATGCCTCTTTTCTTTGGGAAATAGGCTACTTACTGTATTTGCATTTACTCGCTTTGTTGTGCTTTGGGCCACAGATTATTTGCACAGTGTCCTGTTGCCAATATATTCTCTCTAAATAGAATAAATTTCTTTTTATAAGACTGAGGCTACTTAGGGACATAGGTAATCATTTTGTTTTTATATACCTGGCAGGTCTTGTGGTGACTTGCATACAATTGGTAGTATACAGATATTTTTGGAAAAATACATTTAATAATAACACCCACAGACAGATAGTGTTGTACTATATTATCTCAGTTAACTGACAACAACGCTATTGAGTATATAGGTGATAAAGCAGCCCCAACTCTGAGATGTCAGGGGTAGACATCTAATCTGAAGCTTCAGCATCACTGAGCCAAGAATTCCATCCCATTCTGCATCAAGAAAGCATCAGGACTTATCCCAAGCTGTCTTATTTCCCATTTCTCTCTAACACCACTGCCAAGTCCCTGGTTATCCAGCTTCTCACCCCACATTTCTCATACTTTCCCTGCCAACTCTCAAAAGCCCCTCACCTCCCCTGAATACTCTTCCATGGTGCTCTGTGGGCTCACTGCCAGTGTCTCCACAAGCTCCTCATTCCTCCACCTCTCATGAAAAGTCCCTCTCCCTCACGGGCTCAAATAAAACCTTGGAAATGCACTGAGGACACCTGTGCCTTTCCCCTTTCTTCCCTCTCAAATGGATGCTATTCCCCTTTCCCCCTTGCCCAGACATTTCAGGGCCTACATGCCTCACTTCTGCCCCTTGCTCCCTGCCCCTCCTGCTAGAGCCCCAGCTATCTGAAGATCGATCTTCGGGAACCACTGCCTTGTACCACCTCTGCCCACTCCTTGTTGACATCTCGGTGACTCCCCTCACCTCACCCACTGCACTCCTGGCTCACACTTTCCCTCTCCACCTTACCTGTGCCTTCCTCCCCACCCCCCTGCCTCAGACACAGAGAAGCTGTGGAGCTTGCCTAAGCTACAGAGACAACAGACTGCCGTTTCTCCTATGTCTTTTGATAGTGATGCTAAGAGTCCAGGTTTGGTTCAGCAGTTGGCATGGCATTTAGCTGACTTCTGAGTCAGACCTTCTTATTAAAGGAAGCCATGCACTGATTCACAGTCTAGACAAACTCCTATCTCACTATGGACTGGTACTTTGAGTATCACTGTTTTGAAGAGACCTGTGAACATTCTGATTCAGTTTTTACAAAACATTCTGAGTAAAGCAAGCTTAAGGACTGATTCTATGATTTTTTTTTTTTTTTGAGGTGAAGGTCTTGCAATGTTGCTCAGGCTGGTTTCAAACTCCTAGCCTCAAGTGATCCTCCTACCTTAGCATCACAAGTAGCTGAGATTGTAGACTCCAGCTAACACACCTGGCAAGGATTCCATGATAAATAAGCTTTTGTGTCATCACATAAAATTCTTATATGCTTCCTTTCTCTGAGACTAGTCAATTCTTCACTTTTTACTTTAAGGACTTGAGTAAAATCACCTCAAACTCAACATGAATAAGTGTAATAAAAAATTAAAAATATAAGGGGCAGCACCTGTCGCTCAAAGGAGTAGGGTGCCAGCCCCATATACCAGAGGTGGTGGGTTGAAAACCAGCCCTGGACAAAAACTACCAAAAAAAATTAAATTTAAATTAAATTAAAAAAATAAAAAGAGCTCAAATTCCACCATAAATGATTTCCTGGATTTAGAGGACAACTCAAAACAGTACTCCCTAGGTGAAGGATCCAATTACAACTCAGACTTTACCTAACAAATATAAACACTATAACCTTATCATTTGCACCCTTATATTAATCTGGATTTTAAAAAATTTTTATAAAAAAATTTCTCTTTAAAATTCACTCTGCCACAAGAAAAGGAGGTCTCAATGAGAGCTATAACAAATACACCACCAAACTCACATGGTCTGCACACTGTCTGGGCATCTTTGTCATTGATGGAACTTTCCAGAGTGAAAATGTGGCGGACTTGGTCATTGGTCTCATGAGTACCAGAACAGCACGGATTTCCGGTTTTGAATTAACAACGCATCATAATACTGAAATGATGCCTCATGTCACTAAGTAGCTCCATCAGTTTACAGACAGGCTTGCAGCTTCAGGTTGCTTGAGTCAAATTCCTAGCACAGAGTCCTCTCAGAAGTACGTGTTCTATATATATGCACATCGGCAATAGGAAAAGTGTCCATCCATGTC